CTCTAAAGACCACCAAAGCAAAAACCTGTGAGAAAAAAAAGACCAAATCACAAGATGGATTGTCAGAGGAGATGACAAAGATGAAGCCAGAGACACCAAAGGAGACTCTAAAGACCACCAAAGCAAAAATGCTTGGTGGCAAGGCAAAATCCCCAGCAGAATTTACTGAGGAGACAACAAAGATGCAGCCAAAGACACCAAAGGACACTGCAAAAGCTTTTGTACGAGACAAGTGTGAAGACAAAGCTGCAGTGGACTCTGTCCTCCACAATACTCTGGAAAAATTAAAGATTAGGAAGAATGACAGATCAGATGCAGCAGAAGTCATCAATAAAGTAATAAAAAATATCACCATGCATTTGAAACAGAACAGTCAATGCTTTCAAGAAGTAGAAGACCCACTACATACCGGAAGTTACTATGAAAATCTAAAGGTAAGTCACTTCAGTTCCCTCAAACAAGTACTTGGTTCCATCATGTCTTGAGGAAAGGGTTAGTGGTCAACACAGTATGGTACTTTGAACAATTATTTTGGAATTATTGTATAATTTCTGGTGTATTACACAGTGATGTTTTTGTGTATAGATTTCGAATCCTGATGAATTTGATGTCATGCTGCCCATTCCGGTTGACCGAGTAGACATCAAACCATTTGGAGCTGATGGGGCCTTTTACAGTGTGGCATTAAAACGTGGCAAGAGTCCCCTGCAAAAATTTCAAGAGACGATCACTTTATCTGCCAGTACAATGCTCGAGGAGTTCAGGAAAGAAGTGATGACAAGTGTCAAGCAATTCACAGGTGAGTACAAAGATAAGCACTTTTTCAGTGTTGGGATATAATCATTGTGGAGACTAAATACCCTTCCCTGTGACAGAATTAGCAACAGCAACACCTTTAAGTCCTTTTTCAGATGATGCTGTTTGTTTACTGCCTTAAGTCGCATGTGTATTCATAAATTATTACTCTACATTACTGAACCTTGGATTGTGGCCATATGTCAATGTCCAAAGAACACAGAACATTTAGATTGTGTTTCTTGTTTGTTCTTTCAGAATGGAAGGTGACGAAAAAGAAAAAAGGCTGCCCTGCAGTGACTCTGATCACAACAGTAAAATCAATCATCATTTCACTGGATGTTGTTCTCTGTATCATGGTTAAATCCAGCTGGCCACCTTTGACCAAAGAAGGCCTTAAGATAGAGGGCTGGCTGGGAACCAAAGTAAAGCAGGATTACAAGCGAAAGGCATATTATCTTGTCCCCAAATATTATGGCAGCGGTCAAGCAGAAGAAGATGGGGTCCTTGCTAAGGGTAAGTCTAACTTCTCTCAGTTGGTGAACCAAAATCAGATTCTGATTTATAGAAATGACAACAGCGTTATATCGACGCTTAAGGATATATGATTTAAGGCTATATGATTAAGGATATACAGTATTATGAGGAAACTCACTTCTGAGCAGCTATAGAAGGTAGTTCGGTCATGTACTTTATAAACAAACACACCAGGTAAATTATCACAGAAGAGGTGTCACAAGTTGCTTGATACTGTAGCTTATTATTTTATGACAAGTTCCTAGCATTTCAAATAATTGTGTCCTTTCATGGGTGCAGGCAGAGTACATACTATACATATTTACTGTGTTTGATAATTTCACATCTTCATGTTACAAAAACAGTTTTGTGGCTTTCACATCAGTGGTTTCATGAATGAAGACCAGAGGAAAGTGAAGCTTCATGTTCCTGTACCCATTGAGCATTTTGTCCTCTATAACACACAGATATTTGGCGGGTTTCATTCTCCCACATTGAGAAAGCTATAATAAAGAATCACGGATCGGAGAAGACATGCTGTGAAAAAGGCGGAACTCCCTGCTGCAGGTTAGATTTTAACAAACTTTTTTTTCCTTTTATAGAATTCATCTCATTTCCATCACATACAAAATAGAAATAAACTTAAAATAACATTTTCTGTATGTATGTTTGGAAATAATAACCATACAATTACTGTCCTGTTCCTTTCTCTTTACATACAGAAAGGACTGTTTGAAGCTCCTAAAGCACCTTCTCAGTCTGCTGAAGGAAGAGAATTCTTCATTTGACAAGTTCTACTCCTACCATGCCAAAACCATGCTCTTACATGCCTGCTGCTCCAGAACTAAAGACACTGATTGGAAAGCCTCAAGTCTGAGTCACTGTTTTAAGATGCTCCTGCAGGACTTTGTAGGACATTTGGAAGAAGGTGTACTCAACAACTTCTTCATTCCAACTCAGAACCTGCTCTCCGATCCTGGCCAGAAGAGGTGCAGAAGTCTGGCTCAACGTATCAGAGAGGAATTTGACAAGGGCTTTCCTATTTTCAAGTGATGACTTCACAACAAACATCAAGTGTTGGGCTTGTTATTATTCTAGTCCCATAGCGTGAAACATCCCTGAGAAACTGGGCCACTGAACCCAAAGAAAACATGATCAAAATGGCATCAATGTAACAATTTTATTCTTGTGTTTACCCATTTCATTATCTAAACCTATGTTTATCATATTTATTATTTCTCATGAAACTTATTTGTATATACTTTGTAACATCATTGTGCTACAAGTGCTACATTTAAATCAAAGGAAAATAAAAAGATAATATACCACAGGAAACATATATATTGTCATTGTCAATCACAAGGCCTTTCTGTGTCTGTGTCGCCCTGTATTGCCCTCCAAGTGTGAAATCTGCACCTAATGCAAAACATCATGGAACTCTAGTTAGTTCTGCTCTTTTCCTTTCAGTTCATTAAGCCAGAACTGACTACTCTTGGTAGGATACCTTGAGTACCTTGAAACGACATCTTACCTGAGGATGAAGGCATCCATAGATGAAAGAAGCTAATGAAGCAGAAAGCCAATCCAATCTGCAATTTAAATTATGAAAAGCAAAATGAATATCCGATTTATACCAGCTTGCATTCATTTCAGTGGAGAATGCAAAACAACATTTAGAGACTTTGCTGGTTGAGACTTTTCATATTGGGGATTTTGCATTTTGTGCAAAAATTGTGTAAAATCAATTTATTAAAAGCAGGTTCCAAGTATCTTATCAATAACGTTTATGATAAAATAAATACCACGGGGCACCCTGGCAGCTCACCTGGTAGAGCTGGCTCCACATATACCAATGTGAGTCCTTGCTACAGCAGCCAGGGGGTTCAAGTCAGACATATGGCCCCTTGCTGTTATGTAATTCCCTCGCTCTCTCTGCCCCTTTCCTGTTTATCTTGAGCTGTCCTGTCAATAAAAAGAGAAATTACTGTGAAATATACAGTTTTTATGGGAACCCACAGCTGTGTGGTTTCAGTTCCTGCTTACATCGTTTTCCCCCACATCTCATCGTAAATCTTGCATGGACAGCAATGCAAAGTAACTTCCTATCCATGTCACTGAAGAACTGACCATGTATATTTATAATAAAACATTTACCTTTGCAATCTTCCAGGAACATTTTCCCTATGTTTATGGAAATAATGCAAAGCAGATTTAATTCTCACGAGATCACACAGTAAAAATGAAAGTTACAAAAACAATGAACCATACACTGTGTCACGTCTCTTTAAAAGGAGAATTTATTATACAGATTTCTTTCTGCCCAAATCAAGAAATTACATAAGAAAATACAAAATATTCAGAGTGATACTAAGCACTGCCGTGGTTGGTGAGTTACAGACAGAACACTGTCAAAATTGCAATTTAAACATTTTTAAAATAGGGCCACAACATAATGAGGTGCAACTTCCTCTAAATGACAATAGATGATAATCCAGCAAAACACAAACAAACAAAAAAACATTTCACTCAAAGTAAAGAAAAAAAAGGAAAAGTACATTCAAAAGTAATTACAACACAGGAGGCATCAGATCCTGTTCCACCCTATTGAGAAGGAAAAAGTGAAGAAAATGAACATTAGTCCTAAATTATTACTCAATCAGAATATCAGACAAATAAATGTATTTCATTACTGTCCATTTATGCTTGCAGATTGTCTTATTGATGGTTTATGTCAAAAAGTGTGGAACATTTCCTTTTTGTAGACCTGTGCAGGAAAGCTTGTGGTATGTGTGGACTTACATGGACCATTATGCATTAGAATCCCCAGTTTTGGCCTCGATCCCTGCCTCCTCTCCCTCCACCATCTCTCCTCCCCCATCCTCCTCCTCCTCCTCCTCGTCCCTGTCCTCCTCTTGGATCAGACATCTCCTTCTCCCTCTTGTGCTTCTCGTATCTTTCTGCCATAAGCACCAGCTCCTCAGGGACCTCCTGCAGCAGGATTCATAAAGATTACATTTACTACGGTTTGCTAGATGCTAGTGAACAAGATTTTCATTAAACAAGCCGTTTTGTGATAATACTTTCTATGAAGTGAAATCCACTTTAGCCCTCTGTACTGTAGTTTATTCTTTAACAATATCATTTCTATTGGTCAGTCTGATGCCTTATATTCCTATTTATACTTTAAATGAACATCCCGTCCTGCTTTCTGTCCTGCTAACCTGTCCTGCTCGCTCCAGGATGTGAATCAGCTCAGGGGCCATCCTCCAGTTTTCTCTTGTTACCAGGGTAACAGCTGCACCTGAGCGTCTGGAACAGAAATGCATCAACATCACAAACTAACCCAAAAACAGCCAGACACAGGCAAGATTGGCAATCATGTGACCATGCGGAGAATGCAGAACACCCTTACCCTGCTCTGCCAGTGCGGCCCACGCGATGGACATACTCTTCTATGTTACGTGGGAAGTCATAGTTAAAGACATGCGTTATATCATGGACATCCAACCCTCTCGATGCCAAGTCTGTGGCCACCAGGATACGAACTCGACCTGGAGAAAGGTAAACACTGTTATTCTCTGGTCAATTTGAGTCTTCAGCCTAGCTGAGGTAGCTCAATGGCTTCAATGCAACAGCACCACATACACAAAAAGAGTTGAGTTTCCCCTGTTAGAGGAATGAAAAATCTTTTAAACCACATTTTCCTTCCTGTTACATACTCTCTTTAAAGTCCTTGAGGGCTTCTTCACGGTCACACTGCTCACGATCACCATGAAGACTTTGCACAGCCAGACCCTGCAGACACATGTCACTGGACAGGTCATCAGCCCTGAGATTGCAAAAATAAGTATGGATTATTCTGTGGGTTTTTAGCTTCAACAACCCACGACTGCTGCTGAATACCAATTTACGCCTTCATTTTCAAGCCATATGTTAGTGACTAACTCTCCACTCACACAAGCTTTTTCCCAACAAAGATGAGGACTTTATCCTGGGGCAGCATGTTTCTGATGAAGTCAAACACGTAGGACTTTTTCTCCTCTTCTTGGACGATCAGCACAGTTTGCTGCACTGTGTTAACCGCCTGGGAACCAGAGAAACACAGGACGCATTTAAAGTGTATTCCAGACAGGAGTACACAACGCCTGAAAGTCACTTCTTAAGAGGCGTTACATCTGCCAAAGGTCAATAACAAAGAAATAGTTTGGCTGTTTTTGTAGCAGAGAAGCAAGCACTTCGCATTTTGCTCCTGTTTAATTGGCCCGTTTTCAGGTTGGACAAAATAGGAGAAAATACAAACAGCAAAGCACTCAGACAACATACCCAGTAAATGATGGACTGTATTCATTTCCACTTACTGCCAAGTCCAGAGTGCCCACATAAACCATTAGGGGGTTCTTTAGGTAGGATTTGGACAATCGTCTGACACCAGTGGGCCAGGTGGCACTGAAACATGAAGTTAAAAATGGAGAAACAAAGTGAATTTTCCAATTCTATATTGTGCAACCAACAGCATTTCAAAGAAAACCTCCATAGCCCTTCTTTAAGGAATGTATTATTTAAAAAGTCTAATTTATAATATGATCTTCCCCCACAATGAAATGTGGATGAATACACACTTGTGATACAGATTATATAACTTTCTGTTTAGACAATGATCTTTTTTTTTTAGCTCTGTGAAACATATTCCCTCAGTTTATTAATATACAAATTGTATATATTGTATATATAATTGTAAATTTTTCCATGTGCAAGAAACACTGACCAACACCTTTCATGCTTAGTGTCTGCAATGTAAATGATTTCTCTCTTGGGCTGAATCGAGTCCTGTTCATTAACTATGTTTGTTAACGTTTGTTTTAAAATACTTGACGTGACTTGACTTATACCTGGTCATGACAGTCTGACGGTCTGGGCGGATGTCCAGGAGAATCTTCATAATCTGGGGTTCAAAGCCCATATCTAGCATACGATCAGCCTCGTCCAGCACCTATTGCCAATGATCAGAGCAGCTGTTTAAAACGACCTACCTGTACTCCCACACATGACATTTTGTGTGCGAACACCTGCACATTTTCACAAATAAAGCAAGACACTGAGATTGTTATATTTACGAGTGTGATTCACAGTGGGGTAAAGCGACCCCTCAAATGTACCAATATTGTGAGGCACTGGTTTATTTTGTGGACAGTGTTCACACCCAAACATTCAATGCTTCTCGCACAACAAACATGCACAAAAGCAGCTGACCAAGTAGGTGATGGAGCGAAGGCTGATGAGCTCATTCATCTGTAGATCATTTAGTCGGCCTGGTGTAGCGATCACTATGTCCACTCCGCTCTTTACCAGGTTGATCTGGCCTCTCCTATCCCCTCCGCCATAGATACAGATACTGAGAGAAGGTACAGAAGGAACAGTCACGGTCATGTCACCTCTACATCGCAAATTAATTATTGATGCAAACAGGCTGGACACACTGCCCACGTGAGCAGTGCGTGACGGCTGTCTCACTGAACCCCTGAACAGACCCGTTTCCCTATCTTTCTACTATGAGGTTGTCTTTGATAAATGCAATACAAAAGAATCCTGGTGAACAAATGGATGGAAGGATAGCGTGTGTCTAGGCCATAAGCTCGCCTTTAATGACTCAAGATAATAGAAGACTGCTATACCTTTTGTAGCTCTTATAGCGGTACTTTTTGCACTCTGTTTCAATCTGCAGGGCCAGCTCTCTGGTGGGAGTCAGCACCAACATGCCCGGACCACCCTGTTCATCCCTAGGTCTATCAAGGAAGGAGGGACAAAAAGACAGAAAAGACTAGTAAGCACAATTGCACACCCAGCTGAAAGAAATAAAAAGAAACCGTACTTTCACGGACATCAAAGCACAACATTAGACATACCGATAAAAAGGAAAGTAAGCAACAGGTCCTGTACTCACACAGGCTGACCATCCATGTGGATGAACCCTGGCAGCAGGTAGGCCAGGGTTTTCCCTGTTCCTGTCTGAGCAATTGCAATCAGGTCCTCCCCACTCAGCAACACCGGCCACGCCTGAGACTGGTGAAATGATTACAAAAATGATTAAAACTACAAACTTACACAAAACTTAGTAACCTAGACTAGCCAAACATTACTCTGAAAATATACTGTGTTTAATGTAGATTACACTCATCTTACTGTTGCCAAACAATCAATATGAATCTCATGTCTCATGTGCATTAATTACAGAACTGTCAGGGCACGTCTTGCATGCCTAATTTAGCATAAGACATGAGGCAGGGGGAAAAGGCCTGACTCGCTCAATTCAAAGTGATAAAATTGGGCTGCCAAGACCTCCAAAGCACCAGTATTTACACAATATACCTTTCAACCTGTTTAACCTGTTCATAAACAAAAACATAACAGAACAATTTATGATTTTGTTGGAGCCATTTTCTGATGAACAAAAGACAGACGCAGCAACAGAAGACCTGACAATGTAACAAAATGGTTAGCATAGATACCAATCTAACAGCATCACACCAGCAGGTTTAAGAAGACATACAGTCGTAGACTAGGTGGGGTAACAGCAGCTTCACAGCTACATGATTGAAGCATGTTTGTTTAAAACTATTATTGCATCATACAGTGCTGGCTGAACAACACAAGCCAGTCATATGGCATTCCATCCGGCCAAGCCTCTTATCGTAAAAGGTAAAATTGTAAAGGGGGATTATGTAGTTTCATTTTCACATGAAGCATGCTCTTTGTTTTAATCATGCACTGACACAACCATAGGGAGACACATTTTCCATCTAAGAACCCCTAGAACACTATGGAGATGCTAAGGAACTAAGAAATGATCAACAGTTTGTCTCGTGATGTGATGAGAACCCCACGTGAGAATTGAAATTGTAAAATATAAAATTTTCTTTAGATGTAAGGCTCAAATATTATTTCACGAGAAATAATCACTAAGGACATTTTTTTTTTTAAATTAAATAGAATTTCCATTATTATCTTGGGCAGTAGTGATAGACAGGAAACACTGAATAATTATTTTAAGCGAAAGGTTAGGTTCAATTGAAGAGAGTTTATGTACAAAAGTATATATGACATTTTCTTTGGCTCAGTTCTCAACATATTGAGTCACCTAAGATGGGGTTTAATATGATTACAGAAAACTATGACAAATGTCCTTTCATTTCTGCTTTTTCCGGGAGACTACAACCATAGAGTAACAAAAAAAAGGCTAAAGATTTCCTGTAAAGGCTGCCGTTAGTGTGGGTATTTCCAAATATGGATTTTTCAGAATCACGGTAATTACCCATTGCAACAGACAATGAACCTGACGGGTTACTACAGGTGCATCTGTCAATATCTAACCACACACAGCATATACACACAGAAAGTTTTGTTCCAAAATAAGATGAAGATTTTTCAAAATAGTAATTT